CATGTGATATAAAAAAAATCTAAATAAAATTATTTTTAATTAACAATTTTTTAAAAAATAAAAAAACTAAATAAAAATTTTGTACTAAAATAAAAAATTTTAATTATTACATAATATATTATATAAAAGTATAAAAATAACTTTACACTATTTAAATTATATAACGAAATTATTTCTTTTGTCCTTAATTTCTTGGTATTCGGTAACAAAATTGGATCTTGATTAATTTGAAATCGAGTTGGATCGAATCAAATTAAGAGGAATCTTAATATTTGTTTCTTTATTTATAAGATTTGAACTCGTAACTTTATTTAAAGAAAATCAATCCCTTTCCAATCAGATCAACAATATATGTTGATCCCAATTCGCAATTTACAACATGATATAATCTAAAACTGTAATAAGATGTTAAAAAAAGAAAAAAGAAAAAAAACAATCCCATTATGGTGTAATTACATTAATAGCCTTTAATGTTGATTAAAAAAGCTTTATATTTTTAGTTCCACCAAACCCCAAGCCAAATTCCCAAAAAAGGCCCTTAGAAATTGGATAACAGCAAAAGTTTGAAAGTTTAGTGGCAAAATGTTAGGTGCATACTTCCGCGGAGGCACGGTTGGAGAAGGTAATGCAAAACAGTAAGCCAACCAAACGCCTTTAAATTCCCACGAGTCACCTAATAGCCACAGTTGCATATTGCATTTCAGATTAGGTACACAGCACCACCACCCCCACGCCACCGGCAGCTTGTCCTCTCCGGAAACCTTACCAAATGGATCCCAATTTCCAATCTTCTGAGAACCCTGAAACCCCAGAAGAACAGAGCCAGAACCCACTTGCCATTTTCCCTTCTCAAGCTCCATTTGCAACTGCTTCCATCGCCTTTCCCACCATTTCACCTACCCAGTTCTTCCCACATCCAAAAGTGTCCGCCTTGTTCTCTTCTCATGCCCCGACCAAGGTCAAGGTTCCTACGCAAATCTACTCTCTTGCCCACCTCTCTTTATCCTCTGCCTCCCCCTCTCCCTCCAAACTTTCCTTCAAATCCACAATTGCCAACAACCCCCTCCAATCCCCACTGACTCTTGGCCCGCGCCGCCCTCTTGACCCTTCCAATGGGGCTGCAATTCGTCGAGCTGCCATCGTCTGGTTCCGCTGTGATTTGAGGGTGCATGACAATGAGTGCCTTAACACTGCCAACAACGAGTCCATGTCTGTTTTGCCTGTTTACTGCTTCGACCCCCGAGATTACGGGAAATCCTCTTCTGGGTTCGGCAAAACCGGGACTCGCAATCCAACATTCTTGATCGAGGCGGTCTCCGATCTCCGTAAGAATCTGCAAGCCAGAGGGTCCGATCTTGTGGTCAGAGTCGGGAAGCCAGAGACGGTTTTACCCGAATTGGCGAAAGCAATAGGTGCTGATGCTATTTATGCTCACAGAGAGATATCTCATGATGAGGTTAAGGATGAGGAGAAGATAGAGGGGGCTATGAAGGAGGAGGGACTGGAAGTGAAGTACTTCTGGGGAAGTACTCTGCACCATGTTGATGATTTGCCGTTCAAGTTGGAGGATATGCCGATTGTCCATGTTGAGTTTAAGGAGAAGGTGAAAGGTTTGGAGATAAGGAAGACAATTGAGGCACTGGAGCAGTTGAAGGGGATGCCGTCTCGCGGAGATGTGGAGCCTGGAGACATTCCTTCATTGACAGATTTGGGGCTTAACCCCAGTGCAACAATGGCTCAGGTTTGGGTTTAGATTTTCCTCTGCTCTTTTAATTTCTGTAAAATTTATGTTAGCTCCTGTTGGCTTGTGACTTAGATCATTATGTTTCATTTAGTTTTACCATTTGTCATTTGAATTCCAGGTTAACTGTTCCTTAGTTTGCTAAAGTCCTCAACAGGAGAAGAAATTGTAGGGTAAATAGGTTGCTTGCCATCAGAAGCCTTGAATATTCTTTGAGAAAACAAAAGCCAGAAGTAATGACTTCGAAAGTAATGACTTTTGAATCAGATGCATAATGCATGCCAACCTTTATGAAGTCTAGTCTCGCTATGGTAAATGGCTGAGAAAATAGGAAAGTTCTTGGGCTTATACAAATTACATGCTTAGATACCAACACTTTATACATGTTATTCAACTCATAGTGTTAAGTTTTGGGTAACATTTGTTTCTTCCACTGTACTATGGTACTTACCTTTTCTTTTCCATTAATGCCTTCAACATTAATGTTTGCATTTTCCCAAATTAAAAGGCTAAAACAGGACAGAAATATTAAAAAACTTTTACCTGTACCATGATACCCTTAGATTGTGTAATTTTATATTGTCTGCATCAAGATACTTGTTATTCTAGCAGCTAGAATATGGTTCAGCCGACTTTAATATTGAGACATTTTGTTTTGACCTTGGTAGTCACCTATACAAATGTACATTATTCATGAGGACAGCATGAATCTGCAATTTATAATTAAAATTTATGGTTATTCTAGTGATGGGTAGTTGAAAAGTATGCTCTAAATATTTCTTTTCACCATTTTGGAAGCATTGACAATATTCATTGTTTTATAGGATGGCAAACCAGCTGTTAGTGCTTCCATGATTGGTGGGGAGACAGAAGCATTGGAGAGGCTCAAGAAGTTTGCAGCTGAGTGCCAAGCACAGCCACCCAAGGAAAACAAGGATGGCAGCCAAGATAGCATATATGGTGCTAACTTTTTTTGCAAAATTGATACATGGCTAACTATCGGTTGCATTTCTCCCCGTGTTGTATTTGATGAGCTAAAGAAAGCTGCTACTAGGTATATATGCTGCAAACATAGGAAATTTCCATCTTTATTTACATGGTTGTATATGGTTTCTGAGTTTCCCCTCATTTAGTGCTTATTTTGTGATATTGTATGGTTGACAGAACTATTTCTGCTAACAAAAATGATGGTGGTAGTGGCTCTTCTGGTAATTGGTTTCTGTATCAGTCGTTGTGGAGGGATTTCTACAGGTACATCTTTGCTTGATTCATCTTATAAGAAGAGCCCTATGATTTTTATGTTTATTCAAAACTGGCATGCTTATCTCTCTTGTTAAAATTTTTCTTTAGTTTCGTCACCAAGAAATGCAGTTCTGCAAAGGTTGGAACTCCTGCCACAGCCTGTACAGCTGCCCTTGCTTAAGCAAGAATTTGTGCCACTCGTGGAGAGGAAGTCTATTTTGGAATGTGGGTTGCTGCTTTTGGTGCTTATTGAATTTTTATGATGTTGTCATAAGATGCTTAAGTAGGATTGCTTGAAAGTTAAAATGTCCCTTATTAAACTCGTTGTTCTCATTGCCCTGAAATAATTGAATGTGATAGCTTTGCTTACTTAAAAAGTCAGTTACAGCTACTGTTTCTATTTTAAGTCTCTGGCTTTATCCTCAATAATCTCATCTAATTTATATCTTTCTTCTTCTTTATTTTTATTTTTATTTTTATTATGATTTATACAAATGAATGGATATTTTACCTTCTTTCTTCCACCTTGCGTCTTCCATATTCACTAACTTCATTTAGAGTTTCATTAAACTACATTCACAGAGCCACTAGATTCATTGAACCACAACATTCATGAAACCACTAACAAGCGTTGTTCAATGTTTCACTTAGTTCATGAATCTTCAATTAAATTTATTCATTGAATTTATGTAACTTTCCTTCTCCTTTAACCTATATATAAGCTTGCATTGTATGAAGAAGATATAGTGAAATTGAAGGATAGAAAGTATATTATTATTTGCCATACTTTCTCCTCTCCTCTTTTCATGATCTTGCCTCGTCTTCTTTATATATTTACTTTTCTCTTGTTCAATTATCACTTTATAATAATTTTTTATTTGTTATTATATATATATATATATATATAAGGATAGAAAGTATATTATTATTTGCCATACTTTCTCCTCTCCTCTTTTCATGATCTTGCCTCGTCTTCTTTATATATTTACTTTTCTCTTGTT